TTTTTTTTTTTTTTTTTTTTTTTTTTTTTTTTTTTTTTTTTTTTTTTTTTTTTTTTTTTTTTTTTTTTTTTTTTTTTTTTTTTTGTGTGTGTTCAACCCAAAGTTTAGGGGAAGAAACTGCCATTAACTGGTTCCAGAATTTTTTAAAAGACTTTGACGCAAGGCACTGCCATTGCACGCATCATCATAAATGTGTGGGTCGTGCCTTCAACCTTTCAACTTCTTTCATCTTGTCCTTCAAATGCGAATGTCATAAACTGAATGCGCTGAAGGTAGACTTTTATTGAAATCTTCCCAAATTATAAGAGGAAGCTCTGTTTAGAAGGATCCTTGATTGTTTTAGATATTTTCCGCAGCTGTATCTTAAACTCTAACATGAGCTCTTTTAAGGGTAGGGAATTGATGACCAGCGGGGAACAATCAAATTTTCTTAACATTTACTGTTTGAGCTTTTCTATTTTGTTGAATCAATTCATTTAATGCTAATTAGTTTTAGAATTGTTAAGTAGCTTTCTAGTTGATCAAATGGTTGGTAGTATTTGATTGATTGACAATGCCCATTAATATGGTGTCTGTCTTCGTAATCATGCCTTTTTAATGAATAAAGATTAGAGGAGCAAGTTATACTCACCAAGTAAGGAGAAACATGCCCAAATTTTAGCAGGAACTTGAGGGTGTTTTGCACCAATAGGCCTGCAACAACTCCCTGAAAAACATTTCAAATTAGTCTATACAATTAGAAAAATGTAATAAAAAAGCAAAATCATAGATGTCAATATGATACATTAGTTAGTGTTAGCCAACCTTGAATTATGCCATCATTTGTGGAACATATTTTGAAGTTCTAATAGGAGTGGTATTTAGAGTAGTGTTCTTATATACCTACTGGCAGATATTTTTGGAATAAGAAAACAAGAATTAAGTTCTTTCTCAAAAAATACTTGACACCTTTTCAACTACTTTCAAATTTGCTGAAATTTTTTCAGAACGAAGCTGAAAAACATGAAATATTGTTTGAAAGTGCTTTTGACTTTCCAAACACACATTTGCTATGCTAACAGCGATTTTCCGATGATGGGAGCGTCTTAATAACAATTCCCAAAATATACCGTGTATTGAATAGGCAATGTGAACCTAGAAACAAAAAACGTCATTACAAAAAGGTTTATGGTTTTCTCATGGATCTAGTACAGTTTCCACCCCTGGTTCTGTATGCAAGTTAGCAACGACTCTTGTACCGAAGAAAAAAAGATATTAGCAAAACAAATTATCTGATGCAAGTAATAGCAATTATTTTTTTTGTCCCTCTATACAAATTTTGATGCCTACGGATGCAAGCAGCCAACATATTGACAGACCTAGCTAACCTTGGACTAGTTCCTAAATAATTTTCAAAACAATAATTATTTCCACATTTCCTTTTTGTTACTTATTAAATGCTAAACATGTAAACAAGTTCATTGATGGTTTTAGAACATAATTTATATAAGAAAACCTAGGAATTATGTGTTCGATTAAAGGAGAGATGGTGTGTATCTCCCCTGACAGGATCAGGAACAGCCTTCCGGCTTCCCTATTAACACATGCAGTTTGGGACTTGTATCAGAAACGAGAAAATCCTTACCATTGTTGTAGGTAAAGATGCAGCACAAACCCCTTCTCGTTTGAGTGTTCGTTCATCTATGCCAGATGCTACAACCTGAACAAAGAAAATAAATGAATAAACCCTTCCACCAATGAGCAATGACATTAAAAAAGAGATGATGAGGAAGGTACACCGTCAGGTGAACCATATAAACAAAGTTATTGCAGTTAAGAAACAGCAGAACATGGGTTTTGTAGTTAATATACGTATACAACATCTATACTAAAATTGAGAAATCTCCAAACATTCAAGATCCTGATTAGAGAGGAGGAATACCAGAGGTGGTGCACAAGCAAAACAGGCGGTTT